GCGATTGTGTCTTTGTGTTTGCTTTGTATCATATTTTGAAAAAGTGACGTCGAGTCGTCGAAAATACGAATTGAAATTATACCATATTTACATACATAACCATCAAGCCAATACGTTTTTGGCTAATTTTTAAAGAAGGTTTATGTACACTGAACCCGTTTGAAATTTTGTCAAAGATATATATATTTTCTGTCTTTATACAGTGTATCCTGCTATTGATGTTCATTTTCAAAAACTATATAAGCCTTAAATAAAAGTGCTTGACGTCGATAGTTCCTTCTGAACTTTACAGGTAGATTTGGCGTTGGAATAAATGGAATAAAATCACTGAATAAAAAGTGAAATAAAATGTTTTCTCAGAAATATGTATTTGGTCGGGTAAAACCCGTAGAGAGTACCTAGAAGAAGGAAAGGACATTTTCATTTTTGCCTGCAGAAACAAAATAAGTGAAAAAACACATATTAAAAATGATATCACGATAGTAGTAACCATTTTTTTCGGCTTTTGATACAACTCTAGTAATTACTGCTTATTTATTTTTTTTTTTTTAGAAAAAAAGGAATAACGTGCAATATTTCTTTTAAAGATATAATGCCAGAAGAATGAATTTCTCATTTTCGTTGGATAAACGGCTTTGAATCACTCTTTAATGCAGTGGACGCAAATCAAAACCTTTTCAGGAAATGCTAATGTGAGAACACACAAACTGCGCGACAACGTCGCGTGCGCTAGATAATTGGAACATGCATATTATATTGCCTACGGCTTCCGACTTTTTCATAAGGAAATTGTTGCACCTTAAATAATGCGCTTGCGTTGCTCGTTAAGCCCTGCGCCTTTTGTTAATCGAGATATTAACTATCTATCAATCGGTTTAATAGATCGGAGAACTTCATCATCGCTGCCCTCCGGTCGGAAACTGCTATATAAGAGGCCGGTGTTTTCGGAGGAAAATGTTTTTGCGACCGGTTGGCGAGTTTCCCAGAGCGACTCGTCTATGGCTTCCTGTGAAACCAGCTGCGGAGTTATGTCGTTTTCTCATAAAACTGCCATGTCTTGTATTGATACCCGCGAAATCCCTGGTACCCTTCACGGAGACGACGCTATGGTGATCGCAAAGAGAAGTAAATTTCGCACCCGCCGCTCCAGTGCTTACAAGCATGTGCCACACAGTGAAAAACCACCCCAGCTTGTGGCCAGACGTAACGCCAGAGAACGCAGACGCGTCCAGGCCGTGAATAATGCGTTCGCTTGCCTGCGCAGGCACGTGCCTTATGAAAATCGCCACAAACGTCTCTCAAAAGTAAAGACTTTGAGACATGCTATAGATTACATAAGAAAAATGAAGAAACTGATCAATGATCATGACGCCCGACAAGAGACAATCGCGGCAATGAGTCGTCTGCAACAACCGGATAACGGAAACGCCGGCTACGTTCAAGAGCAACAATACATTAACATGGTGGATTTGTCTTCTTGCAAGGAAAACCATACAAATTGGAATGTGGTGAGCAGGGTAAATATTATGAAACTAGTGAAAAATATACATGTACATCTTTGGTACTTATGTAGTATGCCCCTCCCCCACCCCGAAAAAAATGCGTATCTGTTTTTCGACCCCCCCATCACAAATAGTTATTTGGTGTCTTTGATTAACGTCTCTGTTACTTAAATTAATTAGTTTTGTTAAGTAATTTTGTAAATTAATTAAGTATTTACTGATTTTTGGACGTTCACACCTGTAATGACCTCTGCTCTCATCAGATATGATTGAATGAGCTTGACATTTCATGTAAAAACGTCAAAATTATGAAGTAAATAACGAGACTTATTTATCTTAATAACAGAGACATTCATCAAAGTCACTTTATAACTGAATTAATTTAAATCAGACGGGGGCACACTGCACAAGTACCCATCTTTTCTATGTGTGATATTCTTTTTAACAAAACTACGTCACATTAAATAAAAATAACTTTTTTTCGATTTCTACAATTGCAATGTCATTTACGTCAGTGTCCAAATGCTTAGCATAATCCAATGGAAATTTAAACATCAAATTTAAATCGGTCAAAATATATAAAAATATGTAAGTTGATGTTTTGAATCTGTTACCATTATACAATGACAAAGCGACTGGATGTTGTGTAGATGTCTTTATATAATATACAATACTTTAAATATTTCTTTTCTTCGTAAGGTTTCACAACCAGAACTAAGCTCATGCTTGTACGCGACATTCAGCCCTTTGCCGCCCAACTTTCGTTCACAAACCTAATCCTCGACCGACTTCAGGTTTTGAGAGCAAGCGCAGAGTGTTCTCTTCACACGGATCAGTCCAATGTCGTCAGCTCAACGTTCACAAGCAAAACAGACTCTCGTTTTATCAATTTTATATCTACCAATGGACATGCTTACGCCTCTTACTGACCAAGATGTTTTTCATACCACAGCATACTTCTACCAAAAAGATTTTACTGAAGAAATTGGAGCAGTCAGCGCAGAGACTATGATTTCCTAAAGCTTCGTCTCCAAGTCCTTAGTTTCGCCTCAGATGGATATATTTAACAAGACGCATTCTACATCTTTCAAGCGTTTTCCCTTCAATTCATATAATTGATTCATATAAAAAATTTTCTACTTAATTATCACGAGGACGGCCCCAGTAAAAGCAGAGCAAAACAGATTTAGCATATCACTTCTAAATTTATTACATTGGCAAAGAAAAGTTATGGTGAAAGATACGGACAATACAATGTTTTTTCTTTTAGGCAAGAAAGATATTTGTATCATTTAACATTAAAAAGACAACATGTCTGCTGCAGGCAGCAGAACAATACAGCTTGTTATCCAACGACACTAAAACTACGTTAAGAAAAGAAAAGAAAATGATATCGCTCAGACAGAATTTCCGTTAAAAGCAAACTAGAAATAAAATCCGTAACGTGTCTAAATATCCTATTTTCCAACAAATAAAAACCAACATTTTTCCTGGATTCTGTAACCAAGGTATCACAGGGGAGACTAAAAATAAATAAATTAAAGAAAAATTAAATTGTATAAATAGATGAATAAATGCATATCAAGACCAATATATCTGTGTTTTTCTTAACTGTCCAATCGTTTATCTTCTTTTGAAATTTACTTGGAGTTTATTAAATTATTTCGGCCTTCATCTTCAGGCTCAGATTCTAGTCTGGCAGTAAGTCATCTCCCAGCTCTTCATCAGCAAATTCATCCTCTACTGGTTCTCGCTTCCTGGCCGCTGTTTTTGGACGTTCTACTTGAGGACCTAGCGGATCCGCATATGTAGCATCTGCAGTGGAATGATATGGATATAATAAACAATGCTAGAATTCTAATTAATATGGCTATAATCACATTTTAGTGAGTTGAAAATGGAAATATGTGAACATTGTATGGTATTAAATGACTTGGCATTCATTTAAATTGCCCCTTTTCAAGACAAATTTAAGCTGTATTATCAATCAAAAGGGAAAAACGTATTTCAGCTTAAGATCTTGCTCAATCAATCTAAAAATATCAAATTGTGTGCATTTGGTCTAAAAACAATTTCGGTCCTTACCAACATCTTGTTTGGTGTTTTGGAAGAGATCTCCGTCCTCTTCATCCAGCAGCTGGCGCCTCCTACTTGCACTTCCTCCTGACCTGTGGCCAGCACTGGAGATGGCACTGCCAGCACGGCTGCTGGAGTCTGAAATCACAAACCACGACATGGATGAAATAATTTAGATTCTTCTTAAAACTATTTTTTTTTCAGAGTTAAGCTACATGGGACCGAATTTTGTCCTGACAGTGTCATAAGACAACAAGCAGGATTATTCAGAAATCTAAATGTTTGGGGCACAACAGGGCCTCTCTCTAATCTGACTGTCTGGGTCAGTGAAAAAAGGGCTTTCAATTGAAACATGGATGAAACTTTCAGAAAAAATTGGTTTACTTGAGTGAAAAATGCATATACAAGAGTCCACTAAAATAAATTAACCATTTATCTTAATTTTAAACATAAGCTGTTATTACTAATTTATCTTGAACCAATTTACAGTTTATAATAAATTGTTCAGTCTTGAAGTAAGGACCAACTTTTGACTCTGATACTTCTGTGAAAATGAGCCCTAATGACTTATATCAATTTTTCAGTCTGTGGTAATTCTTGTCTAAAACAGAGTTAAAACTGAACAAAAGAATCAAATTCTGAATAGACAAATGACAATTGTTTCACTCAAAATGCAACTTCAGATTATTTTTTGGTTAAAACTGTGGAGATGCCTAGCACTTCAGGTCATATAGTCTGTATTCACAATATACACTCCATCTAAAAGTTTGGGAACATCGTTATTTTGAATAATTATAAATAACCCTATGAGTTAAAGTAAATATTTTAACCAAATATTAATGAATAATCCACCCATCATTCATTACTTTTTTATATACACTGAAGATTTTCTCACTACATTACATATTTTTTTAATTATTCAAAAAAAAAAGTTTCCTTTTATGATTGAGTGTATAATTTGTGCTTTTTCAATAAGGAACGGGGTCTTCAGGTAGCAAACATAATTAAATACAACACTATTTTAATAATATATAGTATTCCCTTTTCAATAAATATTTAATATTGCAAGTTAGGTGTTATCCCTGCTAACCCTGTCTGATTATTTTTCATGCAAAAAAAAAAAAAAAAA